TACTTGTGACCACACTGTATATATATATATATAGTAGTGGGTTTAGCTGACATTTTAATAACCCAGTGGTGCCCGTTGCCGTTGGCTTGTTGAAACTGAATAACGGGAGCAATATCATTTATGAATTAAAAGAAGTACACAATTAATTTTACTGGATTAAATAAACAATTATAAATTAGTATCATAAAATAAAATTAGCACTAATATTACCTAAAATAATTAGCTTAACACGTGTAAGTTATAGCTAAGTAAGATATCTAAATTTGCTTTTCAATCTACTGTTTGATCTTTCTTGTAGCTTACAATGTATGTTTGTTATTAATAATTATGTTACGTATCTGCTTGTTTCCGGTAGAAATTATTTCTGAGGATCTTCAGCGATACAAGTCCTTTCTTGATTAAACTAGTTTATTCTTCCTTGATACCAACTTTTAGTACACAGAAGTTCCACAATAAGTACGTTTCTCGCCACTTTATATTTAACGACCTTTATAATATACGCTATAAATCACAGCAATTCACAATCTCGAAACTTCGCTCTCGACGAGTACAAAACACACACTTTTTACGGCTCACTAGCTCGAAACTGACATGATAATAAATTACACGGAACTCAAAGTAGCTACTGCTCTCTCTTCATTCGTCTTTTATGCTGGCTTTTTCTGCCAAGCTTATATACTAACGAAGAGGGCATCTCGAGCATACTCGGATTTCCCCGATCATTCGAGAAACTCAGCCAGCAGTGTCACGTGACTTCCGCTGTCGTAACAATTAGTTATAAACCTGGACACTTGATATAAGATCATAGATTTATATTTAATACACGACGTTTTGTGAATAACTGTTTCGATATGTGTGAAACTGGTTTTATGTAAGGTTTGTGATTTTACCTACGTATATTAATGATATCTGCTTACAACATATTGGGTTTTGATGAATTACAAATTATATATTAAAAAACTCCATCAGAAAAATTGTGTTAGATGTTTAAACACAACTGTTGAAAATGTGAATAATCAATGCACATGGTCTAATTTATCATAAAAGGCTAATCTACTGTTTTGTGAATTTATGTAGAAAATCAATGTCTGGAACATTATAACAGTTAGTTTGATGGTTATATAGAAATTTGATTATTTTACATTAAAACAATTGATTTCAGTATCAAATATGGCAATAAATGTATCTTAAGCATAATTGTAGAATAATCACTTGTGGGAAAAGTTTTGGAAAGTCTGATAAAAGATGTTTTGCAAAGTTTAGAATTTTATTAGATAGTCAACATTGTTTCAATAAGGAAAAGTCTTGCCTTACAAATCTTTTGACATTCTTTGAAAAGGTTACTGCTCATGTAGATGAGGGTAGAGTGTAGGTTTGGTATATCTGGAATTTCAGAAAGCATTTGACAAGGTGCCACATAAAAGGCTTGTAAAAAAAAATATCTCTATAGGTGTGGGGGATAAGTTAGCAAATTAAATAGAAGAGTGGGTGGATGGAAAAATGCACAGGGTTGTTACAAATGGAGTTCAGTTACAGTGGATTAATGTCACAAGTGAGGTATTTCAGAGCTCAGTCCTAGGACCTTTGCTCTTTTTGATTTACATCAATAACATAGATGAAGGAATGCTCAATAAATTACTTAAATTTGCTGATGATATTAAGATCTTGGGTGTTGCTAGCTGTGCTTTACAAAAGGATTTAGATCATTTATTGAGTTGGGCAAATGGGTTTTAACTATAATAAATGCAAGATAATGCAGGTGGGTTATCATAATTTGAATTATAAGTATAACGTAGATGGAAATAACCTTAACAGTGATATGAAAGAAATGGATCTTGGTATGATAGATGATCAGTCTCTAAAATCATCCAAGCAGTGTGCTGTTACTAGTGGTGGGGCAAATAGGATTTTAGGTTGTATCTACAAAAATATTGAATATAAGTCTAGAGAGGTTATAATTTCTTTGTATTTGTCACTGGTTAGGCCACATTTTGAATATTGTGTTCAGTCTTGGGCTCCTTACCTTATGAAAGACATGGAATCGTTGGAAAGTGTTCAGAGAAGGGTTACTAAAATGGTGCCTAGGATGGAGGGACTTCATATGAGGAGAGATTGAAATCTCTCAAATTGTTTTCTCTTGAAAAAAGATGAGTTAGGGGGGATCTGATTGAGGTGTTTAAGATCGTAAAGGGAATTGATAGTGTTGATGTATAATCTTTTTTTTATATGTAACAGTGAGAACAGGACTAGGGGACACAAGTATAAATTTTGGCAGGGTAGGAGTCATCTTTAGCTAAAACAGTTTTATTTTACTAACAGGATGGTTGGCGTTTGGATTGGGTTGCCTTTGGATGTTGTGGAGGCAGTAAATTTAAGTGAGTATAAGAAAAAGCTCGATAAGTATATGAATAATTAGGGTTGGCTTTAAGATTTATTTAATTTAGTTTAGAGGATAGAACAGCTGAGATGGACCAATAGGTTCCATGTTGTCCCAAAACGTTATGTTATAATAAATAGCAACATATACTGTATTATAGTTGACTTGTTAACTTTTTATTTTCATGAAATTTTTTCTACCATATACTAAGCTCTGAATTCTTCCAGTTCCTGCTTTTAGTAAAATGTCGACTTACCCTCAACTGTGATGAGTCACAATAAACATGTATATAAATATATCTATGACAATAAATATCCAAAACCATTTAAGTGTCCATACCATTTTGGAGATTATATGCATTGACCTTTTTATTGTTTATGTACAATGTTAGTAACCCTCAAATAGATGCTAAACATGAAAGTTAAATTATTTTATATTATAAGTTATCTAGAGATTTAGAAAAATGTTCTCTTCAGGGCGAGCAGACATAAAAGTATTGTTGCGTCAGCGAAGTCACATGACTAGTGTCACGCCACGTTTCTAGAACTATCCTGTACCTTGGCGAATG